CCAAGATGGCCTCCAGGCAGCCCAAGACGCCTCCAAGACGCCCCAAGAGCTCTCCAAGAGCACTCCCATGAGGGCCCCAAGAGGCAACGTCGATCAAATTTCTAATGGGTTTTGACAGATCTTCACGTTTCTGCCTTTTCGGCTTCCCGACGCTCCAGGACAGCACAATAGTTCCTCAAGACGGACTACGAGGCCTCCAACACAGCCCAAGAGGCCTCCAAGACGTCCCCCAACCCCAAAGAGAGGCCTCAAAGAGCGAACACCAAACAACAGTTCGAGCTCAACGCCCCAAGAGGCCCCCTGGTGGCCCCAAGAGGCCCCCAAGAGCCCCCCCCCCCAAAGAGGCCCCGAGAGGCCCCCAGGAGGCCCCCAGGAAATCCCACGACGCTCTCAAGAGGCTCCAAAGAGGCACCCAAGCGGCCTCTAAACTGCCTCCAAGGTCCCCGACAGCCCTCCGAAGGGATCCCAATGATTCGGATCCCAAAGAGGCACCCAAGCTCCCTCTAAACTGCCTCTAAACTGCCTCCGACGGGATCCCAATGATTCGGACCCACTACCCAGGCACGGTCGCGGGATAGGCCTCGAACGCAGCCCGAAGGGAAATCCAAGAGCTGTCCCAAACAATCCCCGACAATTTCGTGCCAAGGCACGGTGGCGGGATGGGCCGTGGGGCACCATATCCGCCATCCCCTGTTGCTTGCAAGAGGGGTGCCTGGCGTGCCAAATCCTGTCGTTTTTGGTTTTGGTTCTTTTCCAAAAGAACTCCCCCTGGGGCTCTGGCGCGTCCCGCCGGCCACCCGGAAAATCCCCAATCCAGAAAAACATCCTCCAAGACAGTTCAAGATGGCCTCCAAGATGGCCACGTTGGCCCAAGATGGCCTCCAAGATGGTCCAAGATGGCCTCCGAGACGGCCCAGGAGAGGAGGAGATGCCTCCAAGTCCGCCCAAGAAACCTCCAAGACAGCCCAAGAGGTGCCCAAGAGGCCTCCAAGACAGCCCAAGAGGCCTCCAAGAGGTCCTCCAGGAGGGCCCGAAGAGGCTAAAATCATTGATGTGTGCAGGTTTTTCGTATTTGCTCCTTTTCGGCTTTCCGACGACCCAAGACGGCCCAAGACGCCCCCAAGATCGCCCCCAGAGCGCTCAAGAGGCCTCCAAGATGGCCCAGGACTGCCCAAGAGGCCCCCAAGACGGCCCAAAGAGGGCACAAAGACGACCCAAGAGGCCTCCAAGACGCCCAACATGGCCTCTACGACGGCCCTGGAGCACCCCAAGAGGGCCCCAAGTCGGTCCAGAGAGGCCCCCCAAACAGCTTCCGACAGCGTCAGACGGGGCAGGAGCCCACCAAGATGGCCGAAGTTGGCTCGAAGCTGGCCCAAGACGGCCCAGAGGCCTCCAAGAGGGACGGATTTCCCAGCACTTTTGAAGGATTTTGACATTTGCTTCTGTTCGGTCTTCCGACGGCCCGAGACGGCCCAAGAGCCCCCAAAGATCGCCCAAAGATCGCCCGAGAGGATGGCCCCAGAACGGCCCAAGGGGCCCCCAAGACGGCCCCAAAATGGCCTTCAAGACGGCCCTGGAGCATTCCAAGAGGGCCTCAAGTCGGCCCAGAGAGGCCCCCCAAACGGCTTCCGACGGCGTCAAACGGGCCAGGAACCCACCAAGACGGCCGAAGATAGCCCTAAGATGGCCCAGGAGGCCTCCAAGATAGCCTCCAGGAAGGCCAAAGAAGGCCAAAATCATTGATTTCCCATGACTTTTTGAAGGATCGTGGCATGTGCTTTTGTTCCAGCCTTCAGACGGCCCGAGACGGCCTAAGTGCCCCCAAAGATCGCCCAAGAGACCCAACATAGGATCCTTTGGGCCTCTCCGATAATCACACCGAACTACTCTCGGGGTTAATGTCGTTCACCAGTGTCCACCACCGGACACCGGCAGGGGAGAAGCCACCAAATGAGGTTACCACTTGGGTATATGTATAAATGCGTGTGCATTACGTATTCATATATACACATGTTCACGCATGTATATTTTCCATGTATAAAAAAACAACTGGTTCTCTAACCAAACCCCCACTACTGGCGGCTCAATCGAGGCCAGCGTCATCCGCAGCGCCCTGACCCATGGGGCGCAACTCGGTGTTGTAGCCTGGCGTGCCACCCCTCCGGCGATGATGCTAAGTCAGGGAAGTGCTTCGCCCTGAACCCCTTCTGGATACGGGCGATGCTGCGCCACTCCTTGACCTGCGCCTTGAGCGCGGCCTTCGAATAGCTCCGCGAATGGCCCGGGAGGCGGCTAGGGGGCGTGCCCGGCGGGAGCGGAGGGCGGAAAAAAAACAAGCATGCGTTCGCGTGGCCCCCATCCAGTTGGAAGTGGCAAGAAGCTTCGCGGAATCGAATCGCGGGCGCACCTCGGGTGCAGGGGTCGGGGGCGACGGAGCGGGCGCCTTCGCAGTCCTCTGGAATGTCCGAGCGTTCAACCTAGTTGAACTTCCAACGGACATTGCAGCCCCATCCCCTCCCCCCCCCCCCCACAC